TGGTTAGGGTTTTGAAATCAAAGCACCAATGGCACATTTAGATGAAACTTAGAGTTAGCAACAAACCTGAACTACGGAAAAGTGTTCTCAAAAAAATTCGATTCGATTGGAAGGGAACGGAAAAGACGATGACTAGGTCTTTGCTCACAAACACATGGTGGAGACGTCCAGAGAGTGAGAGCTTGTGAAGAAGATATCGACTTGGTTGAAGCCCGGATCGCCGACAAGGCTGGTGGTCCTCGGAAGCTTTGGCTATGGCGGAAGAGAAGAGGAAGGAGAAGCGCCAACAAGAGGGCCAAACACGACTAATTCAATTTTGTTCCCCCTTGTAACCGGCTACACCAGTTGCCAGAGTTAAATTATTTAAATAATTTAGTTATGACCTGATTATGAGGTAATATGGTATAAATAAATAACTGAATATAACTAAGTTATGAGTCAATATGATAATGATTATGATTAATATGATATTGGTTATAACATTAAATCATATAAATTCATAACTAAATGTATGGTACATCTAAATATACCATAGCATCACCCCATATTTGGTGGTAGCTTAGATCCTATCAAAAAGTTTTTGAACCAATAAGTCCCATTTATAGGTAAAAAGACGTTTTTCCCTTTAATCCCAAAACTAAGAATATTTTCAATTTCAAAACTGAAAATGTTCTCAATTTATAATTATCAAAACTAAGAAATTTCTTAATTTTTTACTAATATGAACTAAGAATATTATCAAAACTAAGAAATTTATAATTATCAATTTTGAGAAATTTCTCAATTTTTTTCATGATTAAAATTGAGATAATTATAAATTGAGAAGGTTCTCAATTTAAAAAAATCCTAAATCTCTCTCTCTCTCTCTCTAATAGGTAGTGGCATTTGTGAACTCAGTGAAAACCGGGACCTCACAATCAATGAACTCATCGCCTTCCGGACGAGTCTCCAACGCCGGCTCTGAGTTCTCATTTTCTGGTGGACTTTCATAAGCAATAGCTGCAGATCCACGCAATTCTTCACCCAACTCTCCTAGAAACCCTAAATTTTAGGCGGTGATAAGGCAAATTGGTGGCAATAGAGAGAGGTAGATCTGTTCAGAGATAGATTAACAACAATCTCAACCTCACGCGTAAGCCACTTGCAGATTTGAGTTCTTCATCTTTATCAACGACGACAACACCGTAGATCTGAGTAAGGAAAAGAGGCGGTGGTTCTGGGGGTGGAGCTGGATTTCCAACAACGGAGCTCCGTCGAGGACGTCGATGGAGGACTTGAAGACGAAAGGGAGAGTGAAGGCGACATCGAGACAGCTTGCCTTGCCTGGAGTTTGTCAGAAGGTTAAATTGGGCTATTAAAAATTAATGGCACTTGAGAGAGCAAATAATTTTATCTAGGACTTAATGGATTATAAGTTCACAAAATGGGACTTGTATGTAAATGGCCCAAAAAGTAATTACTTAAAATAAGAAATTAGCTTTTTTAAATTAGAATTTGGCTCGAAATTTGTTGAAACTAATGTGAATGTTCTAATTAATCATAGAGAAGAAGGTTGTTAGATATTAATTTTTTTTTTCTCTCACACATTAGAGCATCTCCAATGGCAAGCTATTGGAGCTGCCATTGCCAAAATTTAGTAATAGTCTCCAAAAATCTTATTCTAGTGGACTGCTATAACCCTTGTTAAATTTGACAATTGCCATTTCCTCAAATTTGGCAACACATTTGGCAATCATCATCCAAATAAATAGAATTTGGCTCCAAAATTTCTATGGAACAAACAAACACATTGGGAAAAATCCAGCAGCAATACAATAATAATAAAAAATACTATTTTCTAGATTTTTGGAGATGGAGACAGAGGCAAAACCCACCCACCCCAAAACAGAACATATATATATATATATATATAACAAATTTAGAAAACAACAACAACAATCACTACAAAGACAATAATCAAACAATTTCAGAGAAATTTCAAGCAATTTTTCACAAATTTCAAGCAATCTCAAACAAAGCAAAAAGAATCTCAACTAATTTCAAGCAAATTTCAAACAATTTCATAAATGTAATTTCACAAAAATAAATACTTGGAAAGGGGGTTGAAGTTTCTTCATCCTCTTCACTCAATTTTGTAGTGGTATCAAATGGTGGGGTAAATTATATTTATATATATATATTAATATTTTTAATTTTTTATATTTGTCTAGTCAGATAGAATGTAAATATTTAATTTTTTTAAGAAAAAATTTGAAAAAGGTCATAAAAGATAAAAAAATAAATAAATAAACAATAAAAAAAATACTAAAAAACCTATATCCAAATAACACATACAAAATTAGAAGGAAAGTTTGTTGAAATTTGCCAAAATGACATGTGATTATTGGAACACAATTGCTATAATTTAGCAATTTACTACTATTCATTCTAGATTATAATTAGGTGATCCAAAATTTCAACGAGACCTATGACTAATGAAAACCCCCAAAATAATGAAAATGTAACCAAGAAGAGACTAGTATGACTGTCACACAGTTGGCCTATTAGGGCTCTAGATAATGTGTCATAATAAAGTGTTGTTTTGAGAAATGTCCAAAATAAAAACAAAAAAACAAACAAAACAAACAAAAAAAAAAGAGAAAGATTTTTTTACTTATTAAGAAAATATATATAAAAAAATAAAGAAATAATGTGGCGTTCAGGTTTAAGAGATAATTAAAGAAGGATAATGTCAAGTATAATAAATTAATTTTTTTTTGTATTTCCTAAGAACAAATAAAAACAACATATGTTATGAATGTTTTTAATTATTTTTTTTTTCACTGCTTGTGTGGAAAGATGTGGTTCTTAAATTTTTTTCTTGTCAATTTTTTTTTAATAAACAATTAATTATATTCATGATTTTTTTTTTTAAATTATAGTTTTCACTGGTTTATCAGTCACTTCTTAATTTATGAATTCATATATCTAACAAACTTCAAAGTTTGGAGAGAGTTCATTCTAGCCTCATTGTTTTTGTGTTTTTTGCTTTCAATTATTGATTGGAGCACTTTCATAAACTATGCTTATATCCTAAATTTGTAGAGAGAGAGAGAGAAAAATTTGGGACAAATTATAAAAAAAAATCTCAAGATTTTGTGTATTTTTCAAATTAAACTCCAAAGTTTTAATTTCATTAATTTTAATCTTGAATTCCATTCCATGTCACAATCTACGCGCCTCCGTCTATTGAACTAATAGAAAACTCAATTTTTTGCCAAATGCATGCCAAAATTATGTTGAGTCCCACATATAACCCCCAAATCTCTATTAAATGTTTAAAATATATTTTTCATGGAATTTAATAGTTAAAATACTATTTTTTCTATCAATTTTTTTAATAGTTAAAATCTATTAAATTCAAAAAATATTTTTTTAAATATATAATAATTAACATATATCAATTATAAAAAAATATATATATATTTATATTACTCCGATCAACTGACCGGACGGTTGATTAGTTCAAATTTCCACACCTTTGATAAAACTTTCAAAACTAGCCGTGAATTAACTTTGGAAACTATAAACAAACATCCGACCCAAATATGGCGGTGGAATCACGGTTTGAAAACCATTCCAAACCGGGTCCAAAATTGTCTCTCCCCGCATTCTCTCTCTCTCTCTCCATAAATACCTGCCCCCCTCTTCCTCACCTTCCACATCCTACATCTCTCTCTCTCTCTCTCTCGGTCTCTCTACACACGGCGGGTCTTTTGTTAGAATGGCAAAGGAAGTTGAGAAAACAGTAGTAACAGAGAAGTTCTCAGCCAAGGACTACCACGACCTGCCTCCAGCTCCGCTAGTGGACGTGGTGGAGCCGACAAAATGGTCGTTCTACAGAGCTATCATTGCAGAGTTCATAGCCACACTTCTCTTCCTCTACATCACCGTCCTCACCGTCATCGGCTACAAGAGCCAGATTGACCCCATCAAGAACCCTGACCAGTGTGGCGGTGTCGGCATCCTTGGCATCGCATGGGCCTTCGGCGGCATGATCTTCGTCCTTGTTTACTGCACCGCCGGTATTTCTGGTTAGTATAACCTAAAACCATTATTTACCATTTTACTAATTTAAACCCTAATAATTATACATATTTTTTCGTTAGTTACGATTGTCACTGACCTTTGTAAACAATAATTATTCTACCTGCACAAAAATATTTGGCTGAATTGATGTAGGATTAATAAAAAGTGAGGGCATGGTCATTTCATTCCATGATTTGAGGGAAATAGGAGAGGGAAAGAAAAAGGGTTTTTAGGGTTCATTCAAGAAGAAGAAGAAAGCTTTGAGTATTTTTTATTTTTTTGTAAATGGAGATGTTGAGAGTAAATTTTGTTGTGATGGGTGTTATGGCACTTGTTTTGGCTCTGGTTGTTCCTTCTATCAATGCTCATGCTCATGTCCCTGCCCCTGCTCCTGCACCTGCCCCTACAAGTGATGGGGTAGCAGTAGATCAAGGAATAGCATATGTGCTCATGCTGCTTGCTCTGGCTCTTACCTACATCATTCACTGATGATCATTGCCCTTACCCCATAAAAAAAAAAAAAGAGACAGAGTTGCTCTGTAGAATTCATGATTGTTTACTCTGCTTGTTCCATCTTATATTTTTTATTTTTAACATTTAATTCAAACCCCCATTCTTTTTGCAATGTCAAAAAAAATTAATAAAAAGTGAGATTCATCTCATGTAAAAGGGTTCTGTTTAATTTTATATTCAATTTTTATGTTTCTAATTATTTATTTTGGAAATAATTGAATTGTCCAATATTTTGATGTGAGCTCAAAATAAGATGATTCATCCTATTTATTTATTTTTAATTTGGATCATTTACAATCATATCATCTCACCTTATTATATTATTTCGTCATTTTTGTTTGGGTGAAGTACCAATAAATGCTAAATTTAGATTTTGTGAACTGATTAGTCCCTAGGTTTTTCTTATGGACCCAAAAGTCCTGTTATAAGTGAAATTACTTTAAGGGATGGGGGCAGAACACGCGTGTGTGGAAAACAAAGGGTGAATGTGGGATTTTGCAATAGGCTGAAATTACACATTTACACCAAGTTCACTATAGATTTTTTGTGTTTTCCCTCCTTTGCAATCGAATCTCACACTATCAGGGTAGGAAAGATTCTGTATTCCCAATGTTGAATTGTTGCGTAGTTAATATGACATTGGGTTCCAATGTTCTTCGTTGCAACTTCCAGAAGTCGTGAGATTGAGGCACATTAGGATACAGAAACCCTACATTGTGTGAACGGGGGATTGGGTGTTAGAGCCAGCAGACGTTGAATTTGTATTGTTGAATGGGTGTTGCGGAGATGACAACGCCACGACCAAGTTAGTGATGTTTATTTGAAAAGGAGTCGGGAATGGGAGGCCTATTGATATGGTTTGCTAGCGTAGAGTTAGGGGTTGTAACGTTGGCGTTTAATACTGATGTTGTATGCCTTTTTTGTGGTATGTGCTTGGTATTTGGTCCACCACTGTTAGATTTTTGAATTTTGTTGGGTTTAGATTGTTTGGCAACGTCGTCTGGTATTCAATCTTGTGTTGATGTGTGTGTTTTTTTTTTTTGGTAGGATCAACCATTCTGTGTTTCTCTTTCACTTTTAGGTTGGGGTATTATCCGGGTGGCACATTTTGCAATTGGATTGTGATGTTAATGGGTGATATATGAGAATTCCACATACACATTAAACCATATAACCAAAATGTGGTCCTGGTTATGTGATCCTAATGTCTATGTGGTTTGGCATTACATGTTGGCCAACCTAGGTGTAGTGTCCTGTGTTGTGGAACTGTAGATGTGTTGGATCTGCTTATATAACACGGCGTTAACACCGTACTCAACTGTGTCGTTGAACGATATGAAAATAAGGAGTAGTGGTTATATTGTCAATGTGTATGGATATTGTTCTGTCGAGGTTTTCTAGCGTTTTTTATCGTTTTAATGTGTTCTTATTTTTAAACCAGTATGGGTCAGAATGGGTGGCTGATGTGTTGTTGTGGGTGTTGTTTGTATGTGATTTGAAAATTTGCAAGAGTTGTTTAGGTCTTTGATGGGAAATGTTATATTGGTTATTATGTGTTCCGTCATACTTCTTTGAAAATGTATTGTTGGGTCTTCCATAAGCTTGTGTGGTTGTATTAATTGTTTCCGTATGTAAGGAATCGTTAAGGCATACACGTTTACATTGGAAGTGTGTTTATGGAGAGTGATAACAATTATTGAGTCCATGAATGGAACAATGTTTTGCACGTTTGGTGAGCGAGTCTTGTACAGTCACAACCTAAGTACACTGCAATGCACATGACAAAGAATATGTTATTCAACTCGTTGTCAACATGATACAAACATGTGTGTATTACACATTAGTATACAATCGTTATATGGAAATGATGAATTCAAACGTCGATCCACCTTGAACTTATTGTAACCAGGTACGTCGAACAACATGTATACCAGACCCGGCACCAACCCATCAAACTTCCCACAAATAACATCAACCATTCTCTTGAGCGTCGATGCATAATGCAACCGAATAGCAGCATTGGTTTTGTCGCACGTGCACAACAAAAAAATCCCAGCATCCATACTTGCGCATAACAAACACATGACCATCACACATTCCATGCATTACACATTATGGTGATGTATAATTTTTTTGAATTAGACACCATTACAGTTAACTTCTTGATTGAAAAAAAAAAAAAAAATGAAACCCAAATTGAAACAAAACCACCATGATGACCAAACATGCTAACGTGCATCAGTAAACCAACATAGACACATCGAGACCACCGAATGCGAAAAAAATTGCCAACCCGTGTAAAAAACCTTATCGATCAACTACCAAACAAATCCACATTACACATAAACACCCACCATTAACACAACACACGGCAAACATGAAAAATGACCCCCAACCAATAACAATACCCACCCCCCTATCCAACTAAAAAATCACATCACACCCCTGTAATGTTACGATCCCCAAATAATCTACCAAACTTCGACCCACACAAACTCACACATGTGAGAGATTTGACAGAAAATTTAGTAGATTATTTGGGATCCCTAACATCACTCTATCATTTATTTATTACAAGAGTCTAGTTAATTGTGCTTTTACAATAAATGCTAAAAATATTTAAAAAGATTATTGTCTTGTTTGGTTTTTTTTTTTAAATATTTCGATATTTCTTCAGAAAATTATTTTCTTATTGCTTCTTATTTGCGATGGCTTCCAAGACTTTCGACTTTTAGGTTCTCCTTTGTCTTCCTTCTTATACTCCCTTCGTCCCAAAATATTGGTCCCTTTTGGGGAAACCAACTTTTTTTGGTAGTACAATTATTGCATTTGAAAAAAGTTGATTTTCCAAAATTACCCTTTTGATAGTACATTTTTCGGGAATATCAATGTCATAATTGTACTTTTTATATTGTTTACTAATTTAAAAGAAGGGCAAAATAGGAAATTTATATTATTTTTGTACTTGATTTTTGAAGAGGGACTAATATTTTGGGACAATGAAAAATGGAATAAGGGACTAATATTTTGGGACGGAGGGAGTATGTAGTTACGTCCATACCTATGTTTGTGTTTGTTTATCTCGGTTATATACAATTGTTATACAAGTTTCAAATTTCCAATTCATTCCGAAGCTAAACGAAGTTTAGGATTTGAGGATTTAGTTTGATGTTTGTTAATTGTGAAAATCTTGATGAAGCTTGATTTTGTGAATTGTGACATGTTCTTGTATGAAAGGAACTGCTTTTCTTGATCTCGATTGGATTATTTAATTATTATTATTATTATTTATTTTTGAAAAAATCTCTATTGGAGTTTTGTCATTTAACTGTGTGATGTAAGGGAAATGTAACGCCCTCAAAATAATAACATTAAACCCATCAAATAAGACATGCATTTACATATAAACTAACCACATTCCTTTATTCCTTAGAGCTCCTTTACATAAGTATTACATGTTAACATCATAACAAAATGCCCTACAGGCTTACAACTTTCCAAGTTAACACTTGGTTACAACAAAAGAGTACTAACTCGTTTACACATAAAGCCCTTGGCTTGAAGTTACATGTAATACATCAAAAGTAAAACGACAAAACATGTCCGCCTCTAGCCTCCCAAGCTATGTCCTTGGAGGTGGCATGCTTCCTGCACCTGAAAATGATATTCCCATATAGGGTGAGCCACAGCCCAGTAGAAATACACTAAACCAACCATGAACAATGACTAAAATATTAGCAATTGATAGATGGCCAACACAGATACATCCACATAAATCACATATTTATGCCACACGACTTACGAATCCAACACAGATGATGTTTACTTTGCAACTCTGTTTTTTCCACTTCAACAAGAAACTGAATGACAATCTTATTTAATCAAAGACCCAACCC